TACCTAACAATCAGCTGCAGTTGAAGCAGCAGCATTGTGAGAAACAACGTTTCTGAGGAACTCTTCAGAAATGAAAGCACAATATGGACCCACTTCAACACTTCTCTTTATATTTGATTGGAGTGTTTGATGTTATATTTGTTCATTAATTTTGCTGGAGACCTCCCTGCTGGGATGTCCAAATACATTAATTCATCTAAAGAAAATGTGATCACTGTCTTTGCTGTCTGTACAGCTCATGATGTGCTTTGTTGTTGCTCTTAGTGCCAGAGGTGGAGGTGGATTCAGGTGTGGAGTCTGTCCAGCTGCCCTGCCAAACCACAGTTCACTCACTGAAAGAAGCCAGAGTGGAGTGGACGGACAAAGAGAACAGGAAGGTCAACGTGTATAACAACACCTCTGACCTGCTTGCATTACAGCATCGTTTTTTCAGAAACCGAACAAAGATTAATGATGGCCTATTGAAAACTGGAGACCTCAGTCTAACCCTGGAATACCCCACAGACTGGGACAGAGGAATCTACACCTGTACTGTCTACAACAGGTATAGAAAGATCCGGATGAAGAAACAAGTGGAGCTGAAAGTCAGAGGTCAGTGCTGATTGACTGGTTTGAAAAACTCTCTAATGCGTTAAACCAAAATAATTAACTTTTTTGAAAATGTTAAGAATACAACGTAGAGATATTTGTGTTTAAATGTAGAGCACAAAGTAAAAAGTTGTTAGAAACATAAGTACTCAAGTAAAGCACAAATACACAAACACTATTAAACTAAAGTACAAAAACAACGTATTTGTACTCTGTTACTTCTCACCTCTCAAGATGTTTCACTTCAGGCTCTGATTTTGTTCTCAGATATTGAAGTTGTGTCCCGTTTTCATCATCCTGCAAAACTGTTCATGTTCAACACGACTGATGGAACAAATCCATTTAGTTTGGCTCATACCATCTGATCATCAGCAGTTTTTAGTGGGATTAATTTGCATTCATTGAACATCGTTTTCAGAGTCAACTGCATCAAACTTTGATTCCAGCCAAAATCAGTGATGCTGAAAGGGAATAAATGAGGCTGCACAGCTTCTTTAGAAATGAGAGATGAGCTGAGTTGATCCCAAGGATTCAGTAATGTTGCAGCAGAAACAAAAACACTTTGATGTGATGAAGGTTTCTGTGGCTTCATGTTGCAGATGTGTGTGAAATTCTGTAAAATACAATTAAGATTCATTGGCAGAGAGGGTTGTTCTGGACAGAAACAAGATCATGACAGAGGGCATGTTTGATTTAAACTCCTCTTCAGTGATACATTTTAAATCCCCCAAAAAACAGCAGACAGTAGCTCCACAATGACAGGAGACATTACAGACACTGATCAGCTCAAACGTCTTTAAAACCTGCTTTGACTTTCTACATTTCTTTCCTGTTACCTTCTGCTCTGATGTGCTTCTGTCCTCCAGCTTTCTCTGCAACTCTGAAACCTGCTGCTATCTGTCATGTTGTGTTTGTTGTCCTCTCAGTCTGTCAGGTGGAGGTGGAGGAGGGGGCGGAGTCTGTCCAGCTGCCCTTTATAAATACAGAAAACCTGCCTGAAGATGCTAAAGTGGAGTGGAGACACTATGAACCATTCAGGACCGTTTATGTGTATCAAAACGGCTCTGACCAGCCTGACAAACAGGACCAAGTTTATGTGGACCGAATACAGATGAATAAAGACCTGCTGAAAACTGGAGACCTCAGTCTGACCCTGAAACAGCCCACAGATGGAGACAGTGGAGAATACAGATGTGAAGTGGACAGCACACAGATCT